GCCGGTCCGGTATCGGAACCGCCGGTCCGGGAACCGGAACCGGTACCGGCCGGGACGGTATAATATCCGGTTACTCGGGGTGGCGGTACCGGAACTGTCCCGGAACCGTACCGTGTCCACCCCTACGCTGGTGGGGTACAATTTTATGTAAGCAACCGGAAAATTATGATATACTCCGTATGAAATTATAGTATTGTTAAATAACTTTTCCAAAATATCAACACTAAAGTTAAAGTTGTTGCCAAAGTAGCACTAGAACTCTTTGGAAACATTTATATAAGGCAAAAATAATAATTATTTGCAGAACAGCCCTAAAATTTCAAAAACGTAAAATAAGCATGCAAACAATATACTCCCTCCGTCACAGTGTATTTGTCCAGTTTGACTTTTTTGAATCAAACTGGACAAACTTTGAGTTTCAATTAAATAAAAATCGTAATTTTTTTAACATAAAAATAACTTTATTGGATTTATCGTATTGATAACTTTCAAAATTATATTTCATTATGCTAATATGCAATATAAATTGAGAGTAATTAGAGTCCAAAGTTTGTCCAATTTGACTCGAAAAAGTCAAACTAGACAAATACACAGGGACAGAGGTGATATTATCTAACTTACATACTTAAGAATATGAAAAATCACTATTAGACCGAGTCGATTCATTTTCTTAAACACGATATGAATGATTGTCAACTCTCCACACGACCTAGAATCATGCAATTCAAAGACTCGTTTTGAAATATACTTCTGAACCCCAAATCTCTATTCAAGCATGAAAACATACTTTCACTATAGAAAAAGTTTATAAGAAAGAAAATATATTATGCATTCAACTCTCATACATAATGTATTTACAAATTTGCCAACAAGTTATGCATTTTAATAAACTTTAACTCCTAATTAATAATGAACACATTTGACATATTTCCATGAACTTTTCAAAACCAATGACGTTTTTCTATTCACATAAATGAACACAACATATTTTCAAAAAATCGAGAATTTTTTTGGCTTAAACAATCTCAACTTAATGAAAATGACAAACAAACACACGATGACATAACTATCACACAATAAAAAATTTTAAGAAAATGGATCAACCTAATTATGGGTCTTAGAAGTTCAAAAACCTTAAAATTAACAAATAGGAGTACAAATCACAACAAAGCGCTTGTGAATTCGAAGTTCTTTTAACTATAAAATGGAGCTAAAATAGCATCAACAAAAACAAAATTCTACATACCAACCTGCTAATGAAAATGAACCACGTAATTCAACCAATTCTACAACAATTTGCTCAATAATTGAAGAAAATTAGTATGTACTCCGTATTAATTATCATTCATAAATGATTTAATATACAAATTCAAAAAAGAACATATATCCAAAAAACACCACACCTATATTTTTTGAAATTTTCGAAATTAAACAAACAAGCAAACAAAAAAGTATAAAATTGAAATGAATATTGTAAAAGATATTTTGAGACAATTTAATACTCCTTAATATTTTAGTAGCATAAGAGCGACACAAAATGGATGAGGTGGGTAGGGACGGGTGGGGCGGGGCGAGTGAAGAGTGATGGGGGATGGTGGTGGCAGTGTATGTCACGCCAAGGTAGGGTGTGGCGGGTGGTAGGGAGCGGAGGTGGTAGGTGGTGGGTTGAGGTGGAAAAGGATATAGTTGTGAACGGTGTGAGAAAAGAATGAGAAATTAATTTCAAAAAACAAATTGAAACATATTGAAATTATTATCTCTTAATTGAGAGATAATATTTCTTTGGAGTGCAAGAAAATAGAAATCCAAAATTTTCTAGGAAACTTTTTTTCCATCAACCATACACATCCATTATTTTTTTCTTTTTCAGGTTACATTTCCTAATCTTTTAAATCTATCCGTATTGATTAGGCCATAAAAACCCCTCCAGATATAGAGAAGTGAATGCCAAATTGCCCAAGGCCGATGCTGATGTTTTGGCATTGAGCCTCAAATGGTGGTGCGATTTTTACGTTATTGTTTTTGAGTTTTCAGTTCTCTATTAAGATGAATTAAATGTTTAATTCACTTTCTCTTTTTAATTTTTTTTAAAAAATACTTCTCCTTTATTTATTTTCTATATGGGTTTTAAAAATGCATGAATCACACCATATTAGTGTAGATATAATCATTTTTGGAGTGAATTTAGCAATACCTTTTCTTTAAATTTCTACTCTCTCCGTTCCTAAAAAATTTAAATTTCTTTAAATTTTTTTGGTCATACTGTGACACCATTTGAGTATGAATTAAATAGAGTTGAAAATAATTAAAAATTATAAAAATTTGATATTTTAAAATTATGTAGTATATTTTAAAATAAATCTAATTTTATTAAATTCCCATTATAATTAAGTATACTTTTTCATTAATTTACAGTGTAAAAAGTCATTAAAAAAAGTTAACCTGTGACATTTTTTAGAGACGAAGCTAGCAATTTTTTAATTTGGAGGAAAGATCTTGGTATGTACGGTGGACAATTCCAATCATCCGACACAATAATTTCAATGACCCAAGACGTGATATTTGGTTGATAAAAAATAGGGTGTGTCTCTATTAAATTGGTTCAAATTGTGATACATATAGATAACTTTATCACTAAAAATACATAGTACAAAAGGGGAAAATTAGATGTAAGTTAATTACTCCGTATTTGTCACGTCTATTCAAATTAAAGTATGTGTAATTTATTAAAGAAAAAAAGCATTCAATTAAAAACTTAAAAGGAATGTACCCTATAAAATGAAGTCGGGGTGTGCACATGTTAAAATTCAAAAACCAATTTAAAATATTTTTTTAAAACTCTATCCCCCAGTCTATTCGTGTAATTTAGTATTTTGAATAAAACTAAATAAATCTTGACTATCAATACAGTTAATCTAATTTTGAACATTAATATAAATATAATCCATAACATCTACTATGTATTTAACGGTAAACTATCAAAAATTAATTTTCTTATTAAAAATACTAAAGAGTGTTTATTTGCGTTGGTGTTTGTAAGTAATTTTCAACTTATAAACTCCTTATAAATTAAATATTTTTTTTGTGAAAGTAATGAATACTTATTTGCATAGATAGTGAGAATTAATTTTAGGCCTGTTTGGGAATAGTGTTAGCTATTAGCGTTAGCGTTTTGAAAAAGCTATTTACGGACAGCATTTAGCGTTAGCGTTTTTAAAGTAATTTGCACCGTTAAAATTTTATCCAAAACACTAACGTTAATCTTTAACGCTATTTCCAAACAAGTTCTTTGTAAATAATCTGGTCAAAATAGAATTTCAAAAAAAGCTAACTTAAAAATAAATAGATAACAACTACTTATTTCTTTTGGCCAATATATGCATGTCATCAATTGACCTATAAACTAAAAATATTTTATAAATAATTTTGAGCGTTTAAAAAAACTGAAAAAGCACCACAAGTCCACAACTGTATTCAAAAATAAAAATAAAAATAGATACGCGTAGCTGGGCAAAAAGAAATTTAAGACACTTCTCTATCACTCTTCTCCCTCTCTCGTGAAAGCGAAACGAATTAACTCTGTGCTCTTCCCTTCCCTTCCCTTCCCTCAATCTATTTAGCATTCTCGCCTGCCTCGAGTGTGATGACTCCCGCAGAGATTTGAGGCCGGTGTGGCAATGCCGGAGCTAGGGTTTCACGATCAGATTTCCGCCTTCCGGGCCCGGGATGTAAGTCCGGACTCCGTCATCTTCACCGCCGACTCCAACTTGAGCATCTTCTCCTCTGCTTCCGCCAGCGTAGACCGATGCTCCTTCGCATCTGACTCCCATGACCACGAGGATCCTTGCTTGTCCGACACTTCTCAGCCGGTAATTTCAATTTCTCTCTCATTTCGTTTGATTTCGGGATTTTTTTTATATATTCCTTGCTGTCGTCTAGCCAGTGCTAGTAAAATTGGCTCAGACGAGCTTGATTTTGAGCTCACATCCATGGAATAAGATCGGTCGATTGAAACAGCATTTGGATCTCGATCGTATTTTCAGTTCTTCGTTTCAGGATTTTTTTATCCAAATGTGCTCTCTGTGTATATTGACAAACAGTTCATTGTTCGTAGACTTGCATGTTCTTATCTGTTTTCTTGTGAAAGTGAAGACGATTAAACAGGCGAGAAGTGAGAACACGTCTCTGCTCGATTTGTTTCCTTCGGAAAATGAAATTAGGAGTAAATAATAGACTTAGACGGGAGTGAATTTTGTTGTCTGCTGATATTGGTAGTGAGAGGAGATGTTTATACTATTAAACCATAGATAATGGTAATGGAAATTCTGCTGGCACAAGAATTTGAATATGTGATTTGAACCAGCATTTGGCAGGGCATGAACTCCACGAGGCTTCACGTTGTCCAGCTTCATACCGAAAAAGCCACAATGTTCACCTCAGTAAAAGAGACATAGCAAGAGGTAATCTAGTTCCCCTTATACTGGCTTTCTCTCATATGTAGAGGCTTGAAGAACTAGCAATAAACAGACTGCATATTGCTTTTATTTGGAAATATTTGGTGACTCGCGAGCTATTTTGTGCTTCTTCAGTTCAGATAGCAGAAAACAGCGAGGTTGAGACAGAGGATGACAGTATAACTTTTGATTCTGCAAGAAACTCATTCTCTCAAGCTCTTAAAGGTACTTCCATTTTTTACCTTCTGTAGATAGTTTTGAACTGGATATTTGGCTAACTTTATTTTTCTTCTTTTCAAATTGTTAGAATGTCAAGATAGGAGATCTAGAAATCTAGCTCTACTCCACAAACCAGACAGACGAAGACATGCTTCATTAGATCTGAACAGCTCTGTGGCAAAAGCTGCAAACTCCTCTTCGCCACGATTTGGAGGTACGAAAAAGGCATTCGTGACTACTCCCAGGGCTGGTGTATTCCCTAGTCCATATACTCCCAATTACCGCCATTCGAGTGTTGGTATTCAGAAAGGCTGGAGTTCAGAGCGGGTCCCATTGCATTCCAGTGCTAATAGGAGGCAATTGAACAATGCATTGCTGCCTTATTATGGTGGGAGAACCTTACCTTCCAAATGGGAGGATGCAGAGAGGTGGATTTTTAGCCCATTAGCTGGAGATGCTGCAACAAGGACTTCATTACAACAGCCACAAAGGCGTCCTAAATCCAAGAGTGGACCCCTTGGACCCCCTGGGGCAGCATACTGTTCTTCATCATTATATTCTCCAGCAATGCCCTTGGCAAAAAGAGAAAACAACATAAATTTAGTAGCTAATTCTCCCTTTTCCACCCGAGTGGGGCCAACAAATGATTTATCTATTCATTGTGGAAGTCATGGAGTTGGTGACAACTTTACTGCGTGCACAGAGCCATGCATGGCAAGGTCACTTAGCATTAATGGGTTCTCTGAACTGCTCAGCTTGTCCTCCTTGCCAGCTGTCCAAGGTAAATATCTAACCACTCCTAGTCGGTGTTTAGGGCTTGCAGAATTTGAATCAAAGTTCATGAATTTATTGTTTACCCCTTTTATCTACTTATTTATTTGCTGCTACACTTCCATCACATGGTTAAGAAAAAGTACATTCTCTGGTATGCTTTGCCTAAATACAATATGAAGGCAGTTTAATAATGTGGCGATAAAACTTGATAAAATAGCCAATCTATTGCTGTAACTGCAACAACAACCCAGTAGAAGCCAATCTATTGTGGTATGCAGAATAAACAACTTGAGCACAGCTTCAGTTGTTTATTGTTATAGGCCACTTCTATACTTAAAACCATCGACCCATCATGTACAGCTATGGATAAATTTAACAATATGATACGAGTTCATTTTTGGTTTGTTTGGGTTTAGAATTTATAGAAGGGTTAGGGGGCTTAGCTTATAGAAAACAAACCATAAAAAATCAACATTGATGTGATCATATAATATTTCAATCACTTTTTTATTCATTTTAGTATCATCTTATTTACTGTATAAAAATATGTACCCCTCCTAAATTCTTCATCCAAACAAACCCATAATATTATACTATTTGGTTTGGTTTCGGTATAAAAATTGGCATTCGTGGTGTAATGCATTTGACATTTGTATGTGAAGATGAGGGAAACAATGACAATGAATTTAACGATGATGCGGCCAGCAACACATCTGGTGATGTCTTAAGGAGGGATATGGTAACTCAGATGAGCCCAGACCAGCCAGACACTAGTCCACAGTCATCTTTCTCTCCTCCACTACTGCCAATTGTGGAGGTGCCCCGCGTCCATTCTTTTAAAGCGGAGGTCCGCGATGTTCCTATTGATGAGAGGGTTACTGTAACAAGGTGGTCAAAGAAACAAAGAGCTCGAATCCCTAGCAAGAGCCAGGGAGGTGCTGATGAGTGGAGAAGGAAAGCTGTTGAGGTACAGTCAGAAGTTTCGGAAACAGAAAATTCTACTTCAAAGTAAGTGTACAATCAACTTTGTTGAAATAGCAGTGATCCTTTACTTGAGAGTTAATCAAAAGAGAGTAGAACTTGAGAAAAGGAATATCATTAGAATATAAGAATGCTTTGTATTTTCCATATCTTGATGTTATTAACCTTTTCCCTATTTCTGGAGAGCTTTTCCACTTTAAGGGCATTTTTAGATTCCTGAAAATGCTTGGAAAGAAAAAAAATACTCTATTCAAGGAAAATGCAATGTAATTACTGTTTTTAAATAATTTACCCATGTTTAGATTTCTTAGTATTTACAATATATATTAGGAATTAAAAGAAAATGAGTTTGAACAAATATCAAAAAATAAATATATTGATGTTGAATCAATGTTGTCTTTCCCCTAACATTTTAATTCCATCCAAATTTCCGGTTTATTTTCTTCCATATTTCCTTTCGTTGCATTTTCTGAGTACGAAACTGACCCATAATGTTAAATCTTTTAGATCTAGTGTTTTTGACTCTTCCACAGTCTTTAGATATTTTCCATTTGAGTATGTAACCTCTTGACATATTCTTTGTATTTCGCATTGAATGGAATACAGGATTAAGCGGGAAGAAAACAAAATAACTGCTTGGGAGAACCTTCAAAAGGCCAAAGCCGAGGCAGCAATTCGAAACCTTGAGGTAATTTATACTAGTGCAGTAGTAACAAGTCTTAACAGCATATATATCTCTTGAATTGAATCGATGATTATGTGCAATTGAAGCTAAATTACAACACTGAATATTAATTCATCAGATGAAACTGGAGAAAAAGAGATCATCCTCAATGGATAAAATAATGAACAAATTGAGATCTGCACAGAAGAAGGCACAAGAAATGAGAAGCTCGATGTCGGGCAGCCAGGGCTGTGAATCTCAAATAAACACCCAGAGAGCGTTATCCTTTCGCAGGACTCGCCAAGTCAGGTCATTCAGTGGCTGCTTTACGTGCCATGCATTTTAGCTATGGGGCGCCCTTTGCCTGGTTCCTAATTGAAGCCTCCATTGTTCAATATCTTTAGGTCAGTCTGTTTCTATAACTTGCGCTCTGTATTCATTCATTGAGGGTGGGGGAATTCAGTTGTGTTCAAGAATGATATCTAACCATTTCGGCCACGAACGCTCATGTATTTGATAGTTCTCAAATGTTGGTTGAAGTTCTTCGTATTAGGTTTCCGATTTTCCCCGCAAACACCGTTCAAAGACTGCAATGATGTTTCCATGAAATGTAACAACGCCAAAGAAAGAGGGAAGTGAGCCACACTAAGATTTTATAATTTAGATCAATCTCATGATCCAGACACTTTGTATAATGTCAAGGCCTAAAAGGGCAACACTATCAACTACTTAATCTTCCCAATCCCACCAGAAATCAAATAAAAGTGTCCACATCAAGTCGTCAACCCCAAATTGCAAAAGGGAAAAATATTACTCCGTAGTCCCTAAAATATATGTCTAGAAGTATCTAACGAAATAATTCGGTTTGACTGAAAGGTACGAGTATACGATTAGAGTGATTCATGGTCAAAATCACCTTCTCATGAAGTATATTGGACATTGTAAAGATTCGCACATAATGTTTATAGATTTAGAGAAGACTCACAATAGTTTCCCATGGAAACTAAGTTGAAAAGTGCATCTCTGATGTGCGTACGCAGAGAGGATATGAGATATGTACGTGAACAAGACTTGTACGGCGATTCGTTTTTAGAAACATACTCTAAGATATGTACACGAACAATAAGACTTGTATTGGGATTCCTTTTTAGAAACACACTCTATTTTTTTTCATCTCTTGAGGTTTATTTGGTTATACCAAAAACCATCATTACACACATTTTTCTTTGTTGTGATTTTAGATAGAACTTTCATAAGAAGTGAAGGGTGACTTGAGAAGTGTTGTGTGACCAAAAAAGCCCAAATTATACTAAAGGTCATATTCACATTAGTCCAAAAGGTTGGCATATGTAGGCTATAGTTAGTAGGCAAGAGAATGATTCCCATGATCATCCCCACGTCTCTAATATTGTTGGTCATCTATATATATATACTCTTTTCTACCCTAAAGATTATTGTATACTTGATCTATTAAGTGTATATTATTGTTTAATTGCTTTTAAATTCTCTTACCATATGTTACTCAGTAATTATTATTGCCATAACTTTGATGGATTAACACCATCAACGCTCATCATAGACTCATATTGAGTCTAGAAAGTCCGACACATATATTGTACTCCCTAGGTCTAAAAAATATCGTCTCAGTTTTTATTCTGTCATCTCGATAATTTTTGTTAATTTATATAATTTCTTTGTTATTTGTTAAAAAAATATTTTCATCAAATCTTGTTTATTTACGTCATTTTGAAACATGTAATTTGTACTTTTTATTTCTATAGCAATTTATAGATAAAATAGTTTTAAAATTTTTTATGAACATTGTTCGAAGTAAGACATTATTTTTGAGACGGAGTCCAGAGGTGTATTTTCTTTCCTCTCTTTTTCTTAACAGCGTTGGGCCGCATTAAATGCGTCCCACCTAGGCGACAAGTAGCGAATTTAGTATTATATCATTTGCGACAAGATAATAGCATTTGTCGTGTAATGGGCCTACCCTAATCATTCTTGATTAAACTCGTTCCATCCCTTGGCCCATTTCAATGCCCCCGAAATTTACTAAATTACAAAATAGGAAATAAATATATATCATTAATCCATCCCTTGGCCCTATTTGAATGCGCCCAAAATTTACTAAATTACAAAATAGAAAAACAAAAATATATCTTTAATCCATTTTTTTGGTACATGGCATCATTGCATTTTTTCCCACGGAGTATATTAAAAAGACAGGAACAAAGATAACACGGAGTATATAATATCTTGGACACATAAAATGTCTGTGTTTGACTTTACAAAGTTTTGAGAGAAATGTTAAAAAGTAAAAAAAATGTTTGAATTTGTTATGAAAAGAAAATTTCTCACTTAAATATTTTTTTTTCTTAAAAGAAAGTGAACTTTTTTTTGGACAAAAACAAAATGAAGATTGTTGTGAGACAAAGTGAGTACTCTTTGTACAACAAAATAAGATAGCATGGCTGATTATTTATCTACTAGTTATGTACTCTTTCTTTCTTGCAAAAGTATTTCATCTTTTCTTTTTTGGACTTGGTAAAAGAAGGAGAAAAAATAAGAGTAAAACATTAAAAATATACCAAGATAAGAGTTATATATTTCTAAAATAGGAGTTAAAATGCATTTATATTACCATTTATGACTATGTATATTACCCAAAAGTATAGTAAAATACCCATATGCAGTTTCACATTACCGTAGTGTCAACTTCTATTTAAGGAATACAAACATATAACTCAAAATAAAATCACTCTAAATTGGAGTAAAACATAGAGTCATCTGACTGGAGTCAAACATATATATATATATATATATATATATATATATATATATATATATATATATATATATATATATATATATATATAAAAGCTTGCAGCAAGGTAATTAGAAGTTGACTGAAAGAGATGCATCTCACTTGGGAGGTATGTAGAGGAAGACTAGAGTTAGATGCAGTACATGCCCTATTTCCATAAGACAAGAAGGCACATATACTACTATATTTTAAGAATAACAACTTTTATCATACCATGTTGGGAACTCACATGGGGTTTCTCTTGACCGGACCACCTTTATTATCATTTTATTTTTTTATTTTAAAAATATCACTATTTTAATTATATGCAAAAAAAATATCATTAAAAACCCAAAGGAATTGAATTCTTTTTTCTTTCTTTTCAATATTTTAAATTTGAGTTCAATGTCTCTAGATTTGTTGTAATTGATTTAGATTTGCAGTTGAGATTTGGGTGAGGTGGGGAATTAAATGGCGTGTAGTGAGCATGCATGATGCCCTAAACACAAACACTACCATCATTCTATGCTGCAAGGGGAGGCAACCTACTCCAATATAGCATCACAATTTCTTAATTAGTTGGAGTGCCCTAATTAATTATTATAGGGATATGAATAATTAATCAATTAATCAAAGAAATAAATTTTAAAATAAATGAATAATATGAAAATTAATATACTAAATGAGTAATATAATAAGAAAAATAATAAATAATACTCCGTAATATTCTATTTCTTATTACATCTATTTACTCACTACGTCCCATAAATTATTTCTCATTTGTTTTTTTTGTCCCACAAAATCCTTCATTTTTTTACAAAAAAATTATTTTACCCATACCAATTTTAACTTACCTAACACATCATACATTTTTACTAATAATATATCTATCACATTTTATTTTCATTCATCACATCAAGTCAACACCAAGCTATCAATCTCTAAAAAAATTTCAATAGTCAAAACCAAAATACTCTCTCCGTCACAGAAAACATGGAAGTTTTGGTTTTGGAGAGGGATTTAAGGTGATTGTAATTTGGTATTGAATTTCCAAAAATGTACTTTGATATGATGGGTAAAAGTATGATTTGATGGATATATTATTAGTAAAAAGGTATGATGTGATAGGTAGGGTATGAAAAAGTAATGGGTAAAAGTGACTTTTTAATAGGAATGAAAAGTGTTTTTTGGGACGGATGAAAAAAGAAATGAGAAAGGTTTTCTGGAACGGAGGGAGTATATATTTACTGATCCAGTAGCCCAATCCATCTAAGGACCTTCAATTTATAATTGACTTTGGGCTCCTAACTCCCGCGGTCCTACCTGCACGGCTGCACACTCAAGCAAAAAAAATTGTTTTTTGGTCTACATTGAGTGCATTTTATTTTTGAATATTTTTTCATATAGTTGTTTTTTTAAATTACAAGAATATATACTTATTTAAGTGATAAGGAAATGTTTATTTTGCTCACATGTAGGTTCACGGTAGACCTTAGATCTAACATAAAATTTGCCAAGAAAATACCGTAACAATTTTATGTATACCATAATAAACACTAAATAAATATTGTTTCAAAATAAAGTTTTAATTTCACTTGTAAATATTTTTAGTATGATATTTAAATTATTAGGATCTATACTTATTCATAAATAATACAGTAATCAGTATTTAATATATATTCAATCTTTTAAAAGTTTTGTAGTCAAATCAAATGAAAACCTTTTTGAAGATAAGTAGTACTCCGTAATTAAGTAGTTCTAAGTTTCTCTCTCTATGTAAAATTATATATACCTCCTCCATCTCAAATTTATTTACTATATTTGAATAGCGTATAAAATTATACTCCCTCCGTCCAACAATAAAGTTCTCGTTCACTATTCACATGGTCAAATTTTATTCACTTTGTTGGCCTATTTTTATGTCTTATTTGATAAAATAATATAGTCATGTCACCTCTAGTTTTGTAGATCTTTTCATGTATTTTTAAATATGTAATTTTTATTTTTTTATTCCATACCATATTTCATTTAAAATGATTTAAAAATAATTTTAGTCAAACATCGTAACGCGCAATGAGAACTTTATTTGTGGACGGAGGGAGTATCTTTTTAAAATGATTTTTTCAATTGTAAAAAGTAAATCCAAAATTTTACAAAACAAGATGTAACAAAAATACTTCATTTTATTAAATGATCAATGAAAATACACGAGTGAAAAAATTATCAAGAAACTTGAATAGTAAAAATGTAATTCATTTTGAGACAGGATAAAATTTAAGGCCGTAAACATAATTTGTTAGACCCGAATCCAATAAAATGGATTAATGAAACGTAAGTGTAATAAAATAAAATGTAACAAAAATATACTTCCTTCGTCCCGAAAAAAATGGGAGTTTTGGTTTTGAAAAGGATTTAAGGGGAGTATATTTTGGTATTGAATTTCCAAAAACGTCCTTTGATGTAATGAGTAAAAGTATGATTTGATGGATAGATTATTAGTAAAAAGATATGATGTGATAGGTAGGGTATGAAAAAGTAAAGGGTAAAAGTGACTTTTTAATAGAAATGAAAAGTGTTTTTTGAGACGAATAAAAAAAGAAAGGAGAAAGGTTTTTTCTGGAACGTAGGTAGTATTAGGGATGGCAACGGGTCGGATTCGGATCGGATAGTACTATACCCGAACCCGACCCGACTTTAAAAACCGAAACCCGAACCCGACCCGAAACCCGACTTTTAAAGCC